AGGACAGAGACACAGGCTCTATCTATCCTCTATACTGAGACCCTACCCCTTACATGCTTCACCCTTTTGACCCAGAGGTTACATGATTCTCCCTAGCATGTAGCCACATCACTAGTGGACATATTCCAGCAAAGCACGAAAATGTATTTTTCTTTTTTTTTTTTTTTTTTGAGACAAGTCTCACTATGTTACCCTTGGTAGAAATCCGTTTGTCACAGCTCATAGCAACCTCAAACTCTTGGACTTAAGCTATTCTCTTGCCTCAGCCTCCCAAGTAGCTGGGACTACAGGTACCGGCAACAATGCCCAGCTATTATTGTTTAGCAAGGCCCTGGCCGGGTTCAAACCCACCAGCCTGGGTGCATGTGACTGGTGTCCTAACCCCTTAGCTATAGGCACTGAGCTGAAAATGTGTTTCTCTATACACTATGGCTACCTGAATGCAGGTGTTCAAGCAAAAAGGGTGATCTGTTTTGACTTAGATGAAAAAAAAACACAGGCATTGCTGACTTTACAGAGAAAACCTACCCACTATACTTCAAAAATGATACAAGGGACTGTTTTTGTTTTTTTGTTTTTTTTGAGACAGAGTCTCGCTGTGTCACCCTTGGTAGAGTGCCGTGGTGTCACAGCTCATAGCAACCTCTAACTCTTGGGCTTAAGTGATTCTCTTGCCTCAGCCTCCCAAGCAGTTGGGACTATAAGCACCTACCACAATGCCTGGCTGTTTTTTGTTGTAGTTGTTGTTTAGCAGGCCCAGGCTGGGTTTGAACCTGCCAGCCCCGGTGTATGTGGCTGGCGCCATAACCACTGAGGTATGGGAGCCAAGCCAGGGACTTTTTTTTTCTTTAAGAGATAGCATCTCACTATGTTGCCCAGGCTGGTCTCAAATTCCTGGTTCAAGCAATCCTCCCACCTCAGCCTCCTGAACAGCAAGACCACAGGCACTTGCCAATGTACCAGGCTATGAAAGACTTTTTATTTTTATTTATTTTTTGCAGTTTTTGGCCAGGGCTGGGTTTGGACCCACCACCTCCAGTATATGGGGCCAGTGCCCTACTCCTTTGAGCCACAGGTGCCGCCCTATTTATTTTTTTGAGACAGAGTCTATGTTGCACTAGGTAGAGTGCCATGATGTCATAGCTCACAACAACCTCAAATTCTTGGGCCCAAGCGATCCTCTTACCTCAGCCTCCCGAGTAGGTGGGATCACAGGATTACAGGTGCCTGATAATGCCTGGCTAAAGCTGGTCTTGCACTCCTGACCTCAAGCAATCCACCTGCCTTGGCCACCCAGAATGTTAGGATGACAGGCATGAACCACGGCACCTGGCCTATGAGGGACTTTTAAAAGTAACTTGACCATGTCTGATTTTTGCCAATCTCAGTTACTTTAAAACCTCACACCTGTCAGACTCCTGTTCTGGGAATGCTCCAAGACACATACAGCAAAATATCTGTACAGAAGTATAAGGGCATTAGGGAAACAAAACAGGAGGGCACTATGTCCCTAGGAGAATTCCCCCTAAAACCAAACTCTCGGGGCCTTATTTCCTTCACATTCTTCCATGCTACCCCCAGGCTTTATGGTTTATCTGACAAAGGTTTGCAAACTCACTGTACAAGTGAAGTCTCTCCACTGTACCCTTGCTGTAACTTCACAACAGAAAGAAAACTTACTCGGGGCCTGATTTGTTTCCTTCTTAGGTTTCTTCTCCTGCTCCCGCTTGGATGCTTTGAGGGCGTCATACTCCTTTCTCCGACGCTCCTTCTCTTCTGCCTTCTCCCGCTTTCGCAATTCCCGTTCCTGGGCTTCCTTAGCTCGCTGCTTGGCCTCACGCTTCTTTTCTGCCTCTACCACAAAATACACCAAAACATGACTTCTCTCCCACAAACCCTTCAGCAGTTTGCTTTCTCAGGTGATTAAAAGTATGGATTCAGTTGCCTATTCCTTTATG